TCACTCTTCTTTCAAATGTAAAGGAATTGGGTCATAAATTCCTATGTGCTTTTCAAAATTTTAGGAAAATATAGATTTTCTTTTAAAGTACTTTGTATTCTTACGTAATAGAAAACATTTTCATGAAGTTTTGACATATATAGAATATAGACTTGATCAAGACTGCATTACTTGACTAGAGGCAAAACTTCCTATATTCTTTCTCCTGTTATTCTAACTCATTTTTAGGGGAAAATGATTCTCACTAAGTTGCTTTACAGTATCAGTGCTGAGATTGTAAGAAGTTACAGTGATTATTTGTTAAAGAGACTCTGGGAACATAATTGCTTGTCAAATCCTTTCAACATGCTACCACAGATAGTTCCTAAAATTGGAACACTTATGTTATTAATAGTAAAAATGACAGTCTGTCTATGATGGCCACTTTTTTGTTAACAGGTGGCTAAAAGTAGGTGCAGGTGACTGGATAAGAGAACACCTAGGATGCTTGGCTGGTAAGTGACAGAAGAGAATTAGTGTTATATTTTTCTACTAATATGGAAGGGTCAAGTCATTTGAGAAAAACTAAATCATAACAGGTGACCTCATAAGCGTTGTGTTGAGTGGTGTATATTCTGTAAGACACAAACTTTCTTTTCTTTTTATGCATACTTAGTAAATTAACTCTTGACGTCCAGTTTTTGGGTATGGTTTATCATGTTCCAGGCAGGGAAAATATGAGGGCCTGGTATGTTTTTCTTCTGTCTCCCATATCTCATATACTTTCTAGTTTTACCTTTAACTCTTTTTTACTTATTTTTATTTGTACTACTAAAGTTCTTGGAGTCAAAATTTTACCCCTACCCCCCAAGAATGCTAGAATTTCATCCTAAAGGCAGATATTTCACTACTGTCACAGTCTTAATGTCCTCTACTCTCAACTCTACAATAGTTCCTTTATTGCTGAACTGAATTTGGAAACTTCTTCCTGAGTGATAAGATAAACTCCGGGGATTTTCTGATCCTGTTGGGTAATGACTATTCAGTACTATTAGAAGTTACGATTACATCATTGATTACACAGCTTTCCAGTGTAAACCAAGAGTCAGCAACTTTTATTTTTCTGTAATGGGCTAGATAGTAAATATTTTTGGCTTTGTGGGACATGTATCTGTTGCAGCTATATAACTTTGCCTTGTATCAGGAAAACAGCCGCAGGCAACAGATAAAGAAGTGGGTGTGGCTGTGTTCTAATAAAACTTCACAAAAAACCAGGCTGTGGGGCTGCATTTGGCCCACAGGCAATAGTTTGCTGACCCCCAGTAAAGACAAGTTTGATAAAAGCCATGCAATAAACATTTCTATCTTTAGAATCATGGAATGGTATAGTTCGCTGTCTCATATTTTAATTCACATGATACTATGCAAGTAGGAACATAGTAATTTAAAGTTAACATTTAGGTTAAATTTTTTAAATTAAAGAGAAAACAATTAAAAGAAATGCTTAAAGAATCTACAAATGCAAACAGGTTAGAGAAAAAAGAAATCTATTAGTGGTAAAATATAATCATTTTTCCTCTTATATACAATGTATCTTAGAGATCTTAGCTTTTCCTATGGCTTCAGCAAATCACTTTATGGAAATGTTACCTAACTTTCTATCTGGCATCCTAAGCTGTCTCTACAGCTACATTTCTGCATTTCAAATGCATACTTGGGTGTTTCAACTTGGCTACCCTAGCATGGCCTCAAACATCAAATATACAAAATACACTTTCTAAAATTAGCTCTACTTTCAACCTAAGGATTTTCACCAACATCAAAGATTCTTAAGTTAAAAATGTTCGAGTTAAAAAACCGTATTATCATCTTTGACTCTTTTATTTCCTTACTTTTTCTACTGTCTGCCACTAAGTCCTAAAAATATTTTCCTCTATCATATGTCCAAAATTTATTTATTTTTTTCCCTTTTCCACTACTGTGGTTCCTATTACTTCAACCTTGCATTGCTACACAGCATCCTAGTTGCATCCAGGCCCATGTGTCTTATGTTTCTAATTTATCCTGTACATGTCAACAGATAAAACACTGCTTTCATCAGGTCCTTGCTCATACCACTTATCGAACAAGGTCTAAAATACCAATCCTGGCATTTATAACGCTCCACAAAATCACCCCAGGCTTCAGCTCATATCTTCCGAGCTTCAATCTACCCACTTTTCTGTGAACATATTTAATGTTTTTGTTTTTCTTACCTCAAACACTTAGATTGTAGAATTGATTTTATTTTGTATTCTTTTCTTCTTTCTACTTATTCTAATATTATGCTTAAAATCAAGTCCCAGCCCATTCTTTAAGTCTTTCCTCAGCCCTTTAGCTTTAAATAATCAGTTCTGTCATTAATCAGTTTCAGTCTTATTGGGTGATGTTATCAGTAATCTCATTTTCTTAACAAATGTAAGCTCCCAGGTTTGAATCTCTTCATCCTGTTCCAACACCCACAGTTCTTTCTATACAGTCTTCTGAACGCAGTCATAGTTGCATGAGTAATTGGTATTAAAAAGTTTTACGTACTAAAGAGAACAGGGGTGTAGCTTCTCTATAGTCTCTGCTAATTGATTTAATGCTTACTACACAATTATTTTAATCACTATAAAAACAGTACAAGTTGGTTTTTTTGTTTGTTTCAGTTTCTGACCATATAAAGACAAGGATGAAAATAGCAAGACTTTGGCAAGTCAATCATGAAGAGTTCTGAAAACAGCCATGACCATCAAAGGAAGAAAATTTTGCCTTTATGCCATTAGCAAAAGATACGCTACTTAATTCTACACTTAATGCTACTACACTCTTACCTCTCCCCATTTTGTGTTTCTGGAGAAATAAATATAGGCTCTAAGAAAAAGAAATTGTTCATCTATTGAGATAACAAAGAAAAAGATTGTCTTCATATGGAAGTGAAAGGGGTTCTCCTGTGTATATTTATGCAGAAATCACTTGTTATAAAGCAACTTTCTCTTCCTAGATATCCCGGAAACGGATAAGACTGTGGAGATAGAGTGAGCAGTCTGACAAGTGTGCTGGGATTAGAAAGCATTATTTAAGAACAGGCAGAGGAAGAGGCACCAGTAATAGGAAACCAAGAAAGGAAGAATCAGAAAATCAGAAGCAAGTAGCACTGAGGCAGACAATGACCCTTTTTCACAGAGGTAGGGGGAAACAGTACTGGATACAAACTGTTAGAAACTCAACGCAGTAACCCCAAATGAGGAATGAACAGAGATTTTTAGATTTTGAAATGGAAAGATCAACAGTAATCACAGAAAGAACAGTTTTTGTATAGACTGTGTGTCCAAAAAACGGCCTATGTTAATATCATTGCTTTCATGCCTACTACGACATACGTGGACATTCATCAGGACTATGGATCAACAGGAAAGGAGAAGGAATCAACATTTAATGAAGACAATATGCACCAGTGCTGTAAGGCTGTTGTGTTCTCAGCCTGAAAGGGAGGAAATGACTCACTCAAAGTTGTGCAGCTTATAAGGAACAGAGTTTGTAACTAAAGCTGTTCACACTCGTGCTACTTCTACCATATCTCATATTTCCTCCAGTGGTATTCTATGAAAATATGTCTTTCATCTGTTTCACCTAATTTCATCTCACACTTTTATCTCTGGGTATTATATGTTCATAGATTATGGAACATGAAAATTGGAATAATCCTAAGAGATCGTTTGTTCTAAACCCCTCTTTTTTTTTCTTTTTTTCCATCTAAATAAACTGAGACCTAAAAAGGTAAAGGGACATACAACGTATGTTTCCTGATTGTATTAGTGAAAAAACTGGCGCTACAACTTATGTTTCCTGATTCCCAATGATTTCATACTCAATTTTCATTATAAACTCTATGAAGGGCCCAAAATATATACAAATGTATGCTTGACACAAGGAGAAATTAGCGGGGCATGACAAGAAGATTTAGTATCACTCAATTTCTCAAAGAATGATTTGAAATGAGGAGAATGACTTTCAATTCTATTTATCTAAATCTCTATAACTGTAAAGGGAGGCAGAGTTATTTTTTACTCGATGCTGATGGTGGGGGATACATAATGAGAATTTTGCAAATAGTATAAGATCCTAACAATCACTAGGTAATTAAAATTATACGTTAACTAAATTTTAAGTTTCAAATGAAGACTTCTAAAATCTTTATGAAATCAAAAAAGGATGGGTGCATATTCAATTATGTATTTAGCTACTTTTAAAATATATAGCAGGTACTTAATGCTAAAAGTCAATATGAGTAAAAACAATCATGTACTCGCTAAAGATTGAATTTGCTATGTATATAAACAACATGTTCAAGCTTGGGATTTATGTATTCCCTATAATGTCGAGTAAATAATTATGGCAAACTTAAAACATTTCCATCACTCATTTGTGCAAGATTCCATGTCACCTAATAAGGCAAACAGATTGCAGTTCACATATTGCAGGTTTTGAGTAAATAAATCTGCCATTTAAAAATCAGTACTGAATATGAATAGAATCGCAGATAGCCATGACAATATTAGAAATGTCATTGCTGAGAACTTCTGCGAAAGTTAACCAATTATATTATACTGTATGCATGCACATATATAATGCATATAGGCAAGATGTAAGAATCTTATTGATTGTTAAGGTGACAGGCAAAGTGTTATGGAATGCCTTGATCTGAAAACAAACAAAAAAACAAGGTTCAGTATGCCATCTATATTATAACCAAAAGCCTGGTCTGATTTTCTTCCAGATATGAATGAGAGAAAAATTCAGGAGTTATAAGCTAATGCCAAATAAAGGATGTGATGTAAAAAGACAAGTTTCTGTGTTCTAGTGTTTTGTAGAAAGAGTCTTGTATATTCATATCTATGCTGCTCTGTTTGCTGAGCATTTGTCAAAGTGACAAACACATCAAGCTAGTGGTTAAGCTAGTGATGATGGAGAAATGAACTGTGAAATGGGCCTCCCACCTCTTGCCTGTCGTCCAGGCCCACAGCTTTCCTGTGCTCCAGGGCTGTCCTGCTGCACACTCCAAGGGACTAATTGACACCTGCGCCACTTGTGAGTCTTCCACCTACAGGAAAAGAACAGAAGCCTAATGGAGAGGAAGCAAAAATGCCAGGCAAATTGCAGAGATACAGCAACATGGAAACATGATTTTGACTACTGCAAACAGAAATTTATGTAACAATGCTCAGTCCTACCTAAATTTAAATTTAGATCTCTATCAAGTCATTATAAAAAGCAGCATTAAACATAAAAGTACTTTCTATGGCAGATGAAGACAAGAGAGCATAATTGTCAAGTTCTATAGGAACATACAGAGAGCACTTAGCTTTCTTAATAATTAGGACTATCAAGTGATGCATTCCATTTCAATAAAGTGTATGTATTCAAGGTATGAAACTGCATTCAAGACATGAATCTTTTGTATAGTGCTCTGTTGGTTAGCACTGTAGGAGTAACTTAACAATTGCAATTATAATACACTTTACAAAAACAAATTCCAAAAATAAATACGTTCGTGCAAATGGTTGTCAGTACATGGTGTAAACATACCATTATGCTATTTGTCATCTCAGAATTCAAAGCAGATGTATTAAGATGGTAAATTTGTCATCAATTTCATCTTAAATTATTATTTTGTGATCACACTTTTCATTAATTGATGCCATGATAGTTTATTTGTTGTCAAGATTGTAATTACATATGATATCAAGTGTCAGTTAGATACTTTCTGTCTTAATGGTGAGGGGTCCAAATTTCTCTAATAAATTATAAGGATGATATATAGTTTCAATGGCTGTAATTTTCCTTGGGTGACCACAAATGAACAGAACAGACATATTACTAGCATCATAGAGACAGAGATATCATTTCATGAGCTAGAATGCCAGCATTTATGAGAAACAAGTACTCTTTGGAGCCAGGGGACATATTGCTTAGTCTACCCTCTTATGCAATTTTTAAAAAGTCTAGTCTTAATCAATTAAAAAAAATTGCCTCCTAAAGTGTATGTGTTTTATAATTATTAACCACTTTCCTGCATTTCCTATAGTTTATATCAATGTAAGACATTTCCCCAAACTACTGGAGCTAACAACACAGCTTGGAAATTCACACAAGTATTTGTCTCCTTGGAGATAATTTCAGTAGCAGAGCAGCTCTCCTAAAAAGGCAAAAAATGGCAGCTACAGCCATAAACATCCCCAACTCCACTGAGCCTGAGGAAGGAACAGGGTTGGCTTCTTTTCCTCATCGTCTGAAAGAATATGGGCGTGAAGTATTTGCCCAGGGCATTGCTCTCAATGCTTTTTCTCCAGCTTGATTACCTGTAGCTCTGGCACACTTGAGGGGCTTCGCAGGCCTTATCTTCATAGAGCGGATCTGTGCAGTCCCGGCCTCCATTGGCTGGCAGCTGAATGATGACCCGGTGCCGAGACTGCTTCCTGACCCTGGAGTCCCCTGGAATGAGGCAGCTTTTTAGCCTCTGTACTTTGCACCAATAAAGGAATCTCCAAATACCAGTCTGTGTGAAGAAATTACAATGCCTCCAGCAACACTTGCTTTGACATCCCTGAATAAGAAGCCTCACCTAGTAGAATCATTTACTAAATTCTCTGAAAGACTGCTTAAATCGAAAACCAAATCACCTTATATTTAAATATCTGAAGAATAGCGAAAACAATTCCACAGTCAGCTAGCCTTTCTAATGCACAGTTAGGAAGTAATTGCTCTTTTGTATATTTCTTTCCCCTTGAGGAATATGACAGATCTAATTAATTTATTTTCCTCTACCTTAAGTTTATTCTCATGCCATTTCACATATCCCTATTTGCCACATGGGACTCATACACGTGTAATAAATCTTCCTTAGAAGGATATATTCAATGTTATAATGTGAAATTTTATTTCTTTCTTATTCACTTAATTTGAAATGCATAACTTGTAAATTATTCCAGTCATTTATTATTCATGTTAAATAGTCTAAGCTCTTCAATTCAGGTCGCATTTTAAACATCAGGGCTCTAAGTGGTGAACTAAAGTGGTTTCCTATAGGCAGACTTCTTAGAGAAACAGTCAAAATGGCAATAATTACTGTGTGTCAATAACTCCAAATTATGTTTAAAAAACAATAGAAAAAATTAAGATTCACCTTCAATAAAGATATCAATTTAACACTATTATTGATATAAGTATGTTCAAAATCTTTTAGTGTTAGTAACAGATAATGTATAGGACTTGACAACTTTAATAAATTATGTTTTGACTTACAAAATATACACTTTAATGATGAATTGTCCACATGGCATGGTTTCACTTACAAAAGAATTCCCTAAAGAATTATGTTAATAGAGTTCCCCTAACCCATTTACATTCTTTTGCAAGATCATTAAACATTTGATACAAAGACTACAGGAACAGAGACATTTTAATTGGTTAGTAGCCCTTAACAAAGTTTAATCAGAAATGAAATGAAACATTTTTATTCCTTTTTTTTTTTGGCAGCTAGCCAGTAAGGGGATCTGAACCATTGGCCTTGGTGTTACCAACATCACTCTCTAACCAAGAAATGAAACATTTAAAAAGATATTGTGGTAATGGAAAAATATGATTTGATAATTACAACTTTCCCAAAATGGAACATCCTTTCTCATGAAGTCAGGATATCCTCAGCACGGTCTGGGCAACTAACCCGCAACCACATTAAGAGAGGATTCTTGTATTAGATGGGAAAATGGATCAGATTAGCGATTCCTAAATGCCTGACTTCATAAGGGAATGTCTTTAACAACGTCAACAACAGATTTCTGGGCCTACACCCAGAACTACTAAATCAGAATCTTTGAGAGCTGGATTTGAGATTCTGATTTTTAAAAAGCTTGCCAGGTAATTGTGCTGAAGAGCCAGGTTTGGAACCTATTGGAATAGATGACCTTGTACTTCCCATCTCAATTTAAAAATCTGGGTTCACATGTAACTTTTTAGGATTATTCCTATTGTTGGGGGAAACCTGTACTATCAATAATTACATTAACTATCTTAATGAATATCTGGAATACTACAAGTAATGGAGTAGGGAATTGGGGGCTGGAAGTATTTGGCAGCTGAGAATTAAAGTATTTGAAAATACTGTTATAGACTTTTATTAAAACAATACTAGTTTGAATGCCAGCTGCAACTTTCACATATTAAATATAACTTATCTAGGGAGTATCTAAGACCTGTCAATAGACCTTTTAATAATGGCTAATGCAGTCTTCATCCATTATATTGTCCAAATGACCCCTATTTTAAGGCCCAGGTGGTAAATTCCTCTAATAATTCAGAGCTAGGAAAAACTGTTTCCCTTGACAATCTGTTAAGAATCCACTGTGCTTCTATCTTTTGCTTTGCTCACCAGAATCTCAGAGCTAATTTTCTTCTCAATGGCAGGAATTTACCTTAACTTTGATTTCCTCTTTACCCTCTCCCCCATTCACTGCCTGGCTGCCTGGCTTGAACTTTTTTAAAAAAAATAATTTTTATTGTTTTTTCTTTTGTTTTATTTTTATAGCCTGCTTTTGATCTTTTAGGAGAGTATACAAACTAAATGACCATTCTCATTTGTTCAGCACTGAGGGAAAGAGAGAGGTTTTTGTTTGTTTGTTCAGAGATAAATAGGTCTTTGTTCCCCAGATGGTCAAAATTTTTGGAGGCAGTCACTGTAAAACCCTTTTCAACCTGAAGATAGAAAACAGGCACAGGATTGAGACCAAAGGATCTGGGGACTGGAGAAGACAATGAGTTCACCATCAGTGGCACCTTATAGACAGAAGCACCTAGTCTTTAAGTATCTAGATGTCAGCTGGTGCAGAGCCAGAGCTGTTCTAATTTAGGAAGCAGCAACCAAATGTTAGTGTTTCAATTCTATTTTGTCTATTGACATGAAGGAAAAAAATGTCACTTAAAGTGCAACTATGAAATGTTCTATGTGACTTCTCATCACAAACTCCATAGTTTGTACTCAATATAATACTATGATGACTCTTTTCACTTCCATAATTGATTCCACAGTGGAAATCCATTTATTCTTATAAAAGGTTCAAATTCCTTAACCTTGAGCAGCCCACAGGATAGAGACTGTGACCTCATTAAAGTGGAAGTCTTCAAAGCCTTAACACCCAGAGAGGAAGTTTAATGGGGTTACGCAGGAATTGTCGTGACATACATGTTTGTACCCACTGGGAGGTTTGTTTCTTCTTAGACTGCAGTTATGAAATTGCTGCTTGTGCACTCCAAGTAACAGCTCTGTAGAGCTCAGCCAGATAGAGCCCTCAGATCAAAGCACAGACAAAGGGAGTGCTACAGTACACGTTAAAAAGGAAGAATGGAAGGTTCCTCTCTAATAACTTGAGCTGGCAAACTTGGAATTTTATACCTTTTATAGTTCCCTGTATGTATTTATGCCCAATTTATTTTATGTGTTTGATGTACATGTAGCATTTCCATTCATCTTTGAGTTTTAGAACCTAGAACAATAATCACACATAATAAGTGCTTAATCAATATTTGCCGAATGAGCAAACACATTTATTTCACACCTTCTCAACTGAATTATTAGTTAGTATCTTCTATTTCTTTCTAAACATTCTCTAATAGTACATGGGTACTAAGTCTGTGCGCTGAGAATTAATAAAAAACAAGCTATCATTGTGTTCATTGGAAACAATGAACATGGGAAAAATAAAGGAACCTGCCTGCGTTATTCCTATTTGAAAATACCGATCTAGGATGGGAATAGAAAAAAAAGGACTGTATATCAGAAAATGATTATGTGATGACAGGGCACATAGATTCAGAGGTTACATAATCTCTCACGCCGTTACAGTAGTTTTCAGATGTCTTAAGACATTCAAGATAAATTTCACCAGAGAAATTACTTGATGGAAGGATTTAAAGGGCAAGCAAAACTGATTTGTTAAGCTGGAAGTGAGATAGATGGCAGGTTGGAGCAGCATAGTGGTAGGAAATTGAAAGGGAAATGTTTCATGCAAGAAGCAAAAAGTAAAGGTGCTTTTCAGATCTTTGGAGTAATTCTGTGTATTATTGATTTGGGGTATGAAGGTAAAATAGATGCCTCTGCAATATCCCTTCTAGTTCTTACGGTAATAAATGAAGTAAGAAAGAAAGAAGAGCAAACAGAACTTGAACAAACAAGTATATTATTTGATCAAATTGTATTTTTTTTAAGATTAGAGTTACAAATAATTTACATGCACGTATTATTTTATTTTTAAAGTGCCCTTTGTCAAAATTTATAAAAACTTAAGCCAAAGTTAACAGTTGCACTGCTTTGAAGATTAAGCTACGTTCTACTCAATACTGACCTTTAACAGCGTCGATTTTTCAAGGAGTATCTTGGGAGAGGGCAGAATAGCATTTCAAATAACTGTTTTTGTTTTTCCTGGAGTCCTAAGCTATTTTGTTCCATTTTTTTTTTTTTGGCAATACTGTAGCGTAATTTACCTCTTTAAAGTGATTTTTAGGGCTGGCTGGTTAGCTCTGTTGGTTACAGTGTGATGCTGATAACACCAAGGTCCAGGGTTAGATCCCTGTACCAGTCAGCCACCAAAAAAAAAAGTGATCTTTAATAGGAGGGTAATTCCACATTTTAATAAGCTCAAAACTCATAAAATTTAGACTTTACTTGCAGAATTAAATTAAAAACAACACCCCATTCCTGAATTAAATTTCTGTTGCTATTACTTCTCCTTGAACATTTAGCTTTGCTTAGCATTTTTAAATTGCGTGGAAGTCAGTATAATTACAAGGACACTTGGATTATTTCCATTTCTTACCAAATAATAATAATAAAAAAAACTAACCTCACACCATTGTTTTAATTTCCTCACAACAGAAGACTAGCTTTTATAACTTTTATTCCCAGTTTCAGCAGTCTACAGGCAAAACAGAAAAGGCTTCTTTGGAAGCAAAAAGCATCTTGGCACTGTGGTCCAGCAATAGTCTCTTCTATAACCCCCCCAGTCTGTCTTTATTTCCACAATACACAATTATAGCTATTATTTTTAAATCTGAGTGACTAGGTTTAACGTTTCTGAAAACCATTTTTGTTCTAGGAAACTCAACATAAAGTTGCCAAATGAAACAGATAAGGCCGATTTCCTGTTCCAGGAGAGATGAACTATGCTCAGCCAAACATAGCCTTGTCTTCCAAAAGAGCAGATTCCTGAGTTGACATTCTTGCACTCCTTGGCCACAATCACCCCCAGGGGCTCCATGAGAGAACAGTCTCCCAATGGCACTTTGCATTTTAACTTACAGCCATTACCTACCTTCCCCCAAGAGACCAATCCAGCTAAACCCACTGTACCTCACATGTCTGTCACTCACCACAGGAAATGACCCTCTCCAGTTCCTAGGTCTTCAATAGACCTAGACCCACAGCTCTCACCAGGACCCATAGCACTTTCTATAAGCATAATCCAATTCAATTTCCTACCCTTCCAGCACTGCGCCCATTGGAGCACACGGTCTCTCATCTTCAATCTCTTGCAAAGTTTCCTTCACATTCTCCACCAGTGGAAGCTGGCTGTAACTAGCTGTTTCCCAGTCTTTTCTCCTCCCTTTATGTAAACAATTCTCCAATTCCTCTAATCTCCTATCATTAAATTTACCTGATTCCTATGTTTATGAGGGACTACCCTAGAATCAATTTAATGGAATCTTTTCTGTTCTTTTTCTTTTAAACTTTATTTCCTTAAAATACTTTAGAACGAGACAACTTTCATTTTAAATTACTTTACACAATACAAGGAAACATCCAACATAAGGAAAAGGCAAAGTCTTTTCCCACTTTCAAAAATTTCACTTAAAATTTGCATTAGATTCTTAATTATCTGGTTATAAATGTAACTGTAATTACATTTGGAATTATCAGTAAATGACCTTATCTCATACTAGTATAAAGTATCATGTATAAAAACATCAAGAATAAAATTTGCAAGTGTATTAATTCCATGTAATAAATAACCTTTTTCAATGAAGTGATGAATAACCCGCAATACCACAGAAATATTAACGTATAAAAAATTATAATTCTATTGTCTATTATGACCAAACCAAGGGATATCATGTTATTTAGCTTTAAAAAAAATTTAAAGATAAGAAAACCTAGAAAAAAAAACCCTCAGTCAATGATATTTCTTTATTAATAAGTTTATGCCATTAACATTTTTTTTAAAAAGTTAATGCTTATAACTTTTTCCCCCAAAAGTTATTAAGAACTGTTTCCCCCACCAAAGTGATTTAGATATCTTAATAAAAAACTTTAAAATAGGGCCAGCCCTGTGGTGCACTTGGGAGAGTGCGGCGCTTGGGTGCGCAGTGGCGCTCCCACCGCGGGTTTGGATCCTATATAGGGATGGCCGGTGTGCTCACTGGTTGAGCGCAGTGTGGGCGACACCAAGCCAAGGGTTGCAATCCCCTTACCAGTCACAAAAAAAAAAAAACACTTTAAAATATATTTTTTTAGTTTTTTCCCAGTTCGTGGTTTAATTTTATTTGCTATTTCAAAGGTATTCAATAGAAAAACCATAAAAAGGAACTTTTGTTAAAATGTGATATATGACTATATATAACATGACAATCATACTGTAAAAATAATTCATTATTGAATTTACAGTATCTAAAGAATTTGAATACATTTTGTCAATTTAAAATAGTTGTTTGCTAAACTAGAAGTTGGTTATTAATTGAGCCTCTTTCATGAGAGTGAAGAAAAGAAAATATAAATAAATAAAATAAAATAAAAACAGAAAGGAAATTTAGGAAAAATTATCTGTATTTGTTGGGAGCATAAAATTAGAAATAGGAGACATTGTCATTTGTGACAGTGAGAGAAAATTTGCTCCTTATTGCATAAATCACCTGGAGGCCGTTAATACCTTTCTCAGCAGCAGTGAGAAAAGACCCTGTTCTGGAAGATAAGAAAAGATTTATCAAAGTATCTGTCATGATACTGAAGAGTCTTTGTCTGTAAGTAATACAAGCAAAACAAAGCCAAACTGGGAACAAATACTCATCTTGTAAATGACTCACGGTACATTTAGTGTTGGCAGAGAAACAATTTGGCTCTTTTTCTCTTTCCTTTATTCCTATTATTGGGGCTGTATGATTGAATCTGTAGTGAATCTGGTCCCATACTATTGCTTGCCATTAAGTACTTTGGTAGCTGCATGTACTGATAAGATCACTGCACATATATTCTTTTTAAATTACATAAGACCACCACACATTCTTTTAGAATTCATGTAAAAGTAAACATTATTAATACAACAAAGTCTAAAATCCTTTGACTTTGATCTCAAGTTAGTTTTTGGCCTAAAACTCATTTGTCTGGTATTCTAAAGTTATGTCCTTTTCAAGAGGAAAACCAAATTGTTATGGCTTTTGTGCCAAACTAGGATTACGCAGCCCTGTGTAAGAATCACAAACATCGCTGGGCCTGAAGAACTCAGAAGTCCCATTGATTGGGTTTTCTGGGTGAATAGCCTTCAGAACTCTGCAGACCATACCTTCTCGACATGAGGAAGGGCATGAAGTCCAGTCACTGTATGGGCTCATGATGCAGTCCTTCCTACAAGGAAGCAGACAAGGCCTCACTGTTTCAGGCCGAAGGCTTTCAGGACACCTAGAAAGAGCAAAGGGAAATTATTTGGCCTCTACAGTAAGCCAGAAAACCAGATCATTAATTTCTTTAGGATTTTCGTTGCTAAAATTGTGAAACACCCACCAATCTGTATTATTTAACTTCCAGGAGCCATTCTGCTTTTGACAAGAACCATACAACTATACTAATTCTTTCAAACTGAACCTCAATAAAGCTTCTCAAGTCAGGATGTATAGATTTAATAACAGCAATTCCGCTATCTTGTTCCTAATCCACCTTTAATAATTCTCAATTAATAAATGTGTATTTTCTAATATGCCTTATAAGAAATTTTGTGGGCATTCAAATTACCAATTTAAGAAACCAATTCTATATCTTGGTATAACTAAAAAGGCTTTTTTGCCTCTTATAAGTTTTTAGGTTATTCTGTGCTTTATTTGTATAAAACATTTTAAAGCATACTTACAATGAAACATACTCTTTAGATAATACATTTTCAAAAACAATATTGTATTAATAGCTATATATTTCATAATAAATAAGTAATAAAATAGTAAATGTGTACAAATTATTATGATAAGCCTTTTTTTGCTTTATTCCTGTTTTCATTTAGTCTATCTATTCTTATTTTTTCTTCCATTTTGTCCCTACTTTGAAATTATGGGATTTAAAATATTTTGTATATTTTATAAGTTACAGTTTCTTTTTTGGAACAAAAATAGTGAATGTAAATAAAATAAAAAATAGTCAATAAAGATAGTCAATCAATTCAAATAAAAAATACTGTGTGCTTGACATAAATGATAGCAAAATTAAATTATTATTTTCAAAAAAAGAGCAAAAATATGTTATTTACGGGGAACACAAGGAAAAGATAAGAATGACAAAACACTGAAATGTTTTATTTTACATGAGGTTTTCACTTTCTAAGAGATAGTAGGAAGCTGATGCATATGTTTTAAATATACTGTCTTATTCGTTACACACTTACATGACTTTTAAATTTCTCAGTTATTATGATCTGATTCTGCTGTTGCTAGTGACCAAATGTTGGTCATGAATATTAACACTAGAAAAAGATGTATATTAGAAAAGTAAAATATAATAACATAATTTATTTAATTAAAAGTAACTTATTCTGATTCCTAAGCAATTCTCTTTTGAGAATTCTCATATGAATCCTTGCCAAGTAAGCTAATGGGCAGTAAAGAAATAATCCAAACAACCATTATAACTCTGCTGGAATAAATTGGCAAGTCAACGGGAAACAGGATTTAAAAATACTCCACATAGGAGAAGCCAAATTTTTGCAGGTCAAGATAAATTGCCTTTTATCTAGTACGTTAATCAAGTTACCAAAACTGAACTATGAGTGAAAAAATCAACACCATTAATCTATTTCTCATAATTTCTTTTTAGCATTTTGCCGACACTTCATTTTTGATAAATCTTGTATTACAATTATTTATGTACAAGTCCTTTCTCAGACATAAATATTATGCTGTATTCAATTACATAGGAATATGCTCTCCTCTCACTTTAAAACACTAAGGTTTATTTGGAAGTGAATTAAAAAATATATAGGATTCAACATTTCAAAAGGAAATAATTTTACTGGTTTACATTGATGATAAATTTGAGTTTTCCTAATTGCTATTCAAAGTCACAAACAACAAACAGATTTAGATATGAATCACAGAAGTTAATGTACTGTTACCATTTAGATGGTAAATCACTAGAGTTACAATTTAACCTTCATTCTTAACCAAGAAACATTACATGGAAGAACCCCACATATAATCCAGTTATTTATTTTGGAATAATGGAATTATTGGTCAGTAATTATTATTGAAAGCAGCCCTTTTCAGTGAGGCAATGTTGTAACTTTAACAATGGGAAAGCATTACTCACTCACATGCTCTTCAGATATTAGATCTGAACAAATCAATGGAATTTACAATGTTATTATTGACAACCTCCAAATATTCTGTTTTAGTTTAGAAATAGCCACAGCAAGATACTTGGTTAACTGTGGAGAACAAAATTACTGACAACAAAGTCATTAAATGAACACACAAAGATAAATTTTACAGCCTAGATTACATCCAATAAAACAAATTCAGACTTCCTTTGGTGAGGCAATTGGTTCAGTCAACATACTTCTTTTCTCCTTTCTACTGTTTGTATTTAGTGTTTGTGGTTTAAATCAAGGAATTGATTTTCCCCCTAATCTTATTCAAGGTCAAATTAAACAGATGTGATAGGAGTTGAAGTTTGTTACTGGGAGGATAGATAAGATCAATAATATTGATTTTACCATTGCACTGTAATCTGTTTTATTAAGAGGAGTTTAAAACATGGTTTCTATTTGCATTTTTGTTTCAAATGCCAAGTGTCGGAAAGCATTCACTGAATTTAATCTAGCATTTAGGGAAAAGGGCAATAACATTTTCTTTTGAATTCACAGTATTTGCTTAATTTTCCAGAATTGTAATGGCAAAGTAAACCCATTTGACTTAACAAATCTATAGATGTATTCAGGTCATTGAATAAAGGCTGCAAGGGCAAAGCAAATTTTTAATGGGCTGACATGGGGCTTCAGGATACCCTAGTTCCTACTGAATGATTTAATGACTTTAATCCAGAGCTCTTTCACATATAGACGTGGATGCATGTACACCCATGACTCAGCAAAAATAGGCTGTGTAAGTGAGAAAATTGTCAACTGCAGCATTTGAAAGGTGATGAACTGAGAACAGAAACAGAAGGAGCTTACTTATAGAAGCTCAGCACAATAATCTCCATCTGCACTATAGCAGGTTGCTCCTGAGCCTCCGTAGTGAATGTTTCTGCCTCTGTTCTTGTTCCAGCGAGACTTGGAACTCCTGCTCCTGCTGTTACCACCACTGAATTGTATTACACTGCATGTTGATTTCCTGAGTTAGAGTCATCACAACTGTAGCATAATTTCTATTAAAATACAGGTTTGGGGCTACTATAAAACAAGTGGAATAGTCTCTCAATTAATTCAAATCTCTTATGGCACCTTTTTTCTAATATGTTTCCTAATTTCAAGTGCTATAAACAAATAAAGCATGGAGCAAAGTATCTCTAACGTTTGGAACACTGGCCAGATAAAAAAGAAGCATAATGGGGTTCTTACTTATGCCCCTGGAGTTTTCCATACAGCAGATAAATTGTTTTCATTTTGCTGGCACACTAAAAAGTATCTCAAATTCTTAAGAGAAAATAACAATTTCTAGCATTTATTGAGTGCTTATGTTACTATTATTATTTTTTTAATTAAATCATTTCAATAAACTGAAAACTGAGTCTAGAATTAGTTAGGTAGCATGCTTAAGACCACACAGAATACTTAACAACTTGGCTGAGTATTCAGAGAATATGAGGCCATTTTTACACCTATGTGAAATTGACTGGTTTTCCTTTTCGTGTTTCACATAGCTAAAAAGATTTGAATTTCTAAAAATTTATGCTGTCTAAATTTCAAATGATAAGGTAGTTTCCCCTCAAAGGAATGATTTTTTAGAGTTGATTTGTTAATTGTCTTTAAGTATTGATTAACCCAGTTATGCCATTACTTGTTCTTGTTTGTGTTTCTCACAAGGCACATATAATATGCCAGTTCTCTGGTTCTCTGTCCTCCCCTCTAGCAAATCGTTTACCTTGTTATTCCAGTGCTCATAACCACCATGAGAAACTGATAGTTTTTCTATTTATCATAACACTCATCTTATCCCAAGGCACTCTTGGAAGTAAATGGCTTACTCATTTAACCATTGAAAGATATCAGTTTGGCCCCAGTATTTTTGATATAGTATTTTCTAGGAGAAATGAAAGGCAGATCATAGAAGGCTACTATCCAATTAAATTAGATTGGCAGTCTCCACAGCCTACGGGTACACAGGAAGTCATGAATGACCTACACTGCTAGGATTTGGTCCACTGTCACGACTGATCAGCCAGCCTAGAGCAAGCACTTCTTTCACTGCCCCACTAGCTTAATAAAAACAGAAAGTGCTACTATAAAACAGAAAGTAGGTACTACATAGAAAGATTTCTACAGAATTTATGGGTCCCAGGTACAACAGCCTCTGAGGCTGTTACAGCTTTATCAGCAGCTGACATTCAAAACAAACAAATCTTACTCTTGAGGACAGGTATGGCAAGCATCAAAATACTCCATTTTATGAAGCCAGTGAAGCCTGAGCCAACCCTCTGCATGGTTGACCACAGGATTTACTGCTGTCATCCCAAAGCCCTTACTTTTTGGGTCCCACTTGGCCCACATTGACTCGCACACAGATGACTTTTCTGGTCTGCATGCCAACAGAGCAGGAGGCCTCCCCATTCCAAGTTGTGGTTGTGTTGAAGGATGATACTGAGGTGTCCTCGATGCACTGGCCCCAAGGACCGGTTTGCCAGTGGTACACAGTACAAGGATGCTCATTGCAGCTGCGCACCTCTTGCAAAGCACTGCTATTTGGACAGTGAATTCCACCTATCAAAATGGAAAATGATAGCAGATTAGATATGGTGCCAACAGGAACCTTAACATTCTCTGGTCCTTGAAATTAACATGGCTATCAACAACAACGATACCTGCCACTTACTTAGCACACAGCATGTGACCAGAACACTGCTAGGAAAGCACATTACATGTCAATCTTACCTTATTTAGCATGGCCTGGAATAAAATATAAACTATGTGGTATACATGATATTTGCATTTTGGGACCTTAAAGAGAGAGTGAGAGAGGCCATTGTTCTCCAGAAAAGTTGATAATGAGGTACAAATGAAGCCCATGTGATTGCCAATCAGGAGAAACATGACAATTGAGACTCTGGATGGAGAAAACTGAGAGTGTTTTCAAATGTTATCCCCCAAATTCAATGTCTTAATTACAGATCTTAAAATGCTGCTTATTTTAATGTGCAAGGGTACTTCAAAGAGTTTGTGGAAAGATTTGTATTATCTTTTAATTCTATTTTTCTATGAACTTTTTGAAATATCCTTGCATTTGGTTTTAGGACGTTTAGAAACAAAGATATTAAAATAGAATGATACTTTATGATCTTCCAGAGCATTACTGGAAAAGCCATTGAGTAATGATATTACAGTATTTCTTCAAATCTGAGATATCCTTTGCTATGTAATGCACCATCAATTTATGTATCTCAAAGAAAAAAGAGATGGCTGCCAATTAAACTGTGATACAATGCTTTCTGGTCAACTCTAACTTTTGTTGTATGCTTTATTGAAATAGCTTTTTATGACTTAATTACATCGCTTTTTATATCATTTTTTTGCATACATTAAAAGGAATGCTATTTCTAAAACTTCTTTGCATTCAGAGTCCAAATCTTTCCAGACACTTTTTTAACTCACTCTCATCAATGTTATTCTATTGTTTTCCTACAGAGTAACATCTTCTGAAATATCAAAAGTGTTGATGATGCAGGATTTCTTAAAAAGAGTTCTCTGCTGTTTTCTCCAGAATTTTCTTCCAGGATGCTGATATTCATCTCTAAGTTTTCATTCTTAGTTTCTCCAGAAGATGTCAGTGAAAGTTTTAAGCAAGGAACTAGGATTTATTTTCCTTCCTCAAATGGTCCCTAGCAGTTTTGTTTGTGTTTTTGCAGAACCATCTTGGAATTGTTATTTCCACCAGGAATAACAACGAAGTTCACATGTACAAACAATGACAACTATGTCAACAGTTAGAACAGTTCCATCCAATGTAAGATGTGATAATTCCACAGATGTTAAAGGGTAAAGCAGATGCATTTTTCGAACCATAGACTATGGTATGGGAGTTATCATTCTGGGACCCTTTTTTATGTGCTAGCCCCATTATCAGTACTTTGTAGGTGGGATCTCATTTTGTGTTAAAAGCAGGGTATTGAAGAAACATATTGCTCATTTTATTGACAATTTGATCTATTAGAGTTTATGCAGCCTCTGGATTTTATCTTAGAAACAGAAAAGAACTGGTCACTGGTGTGGAATGGTGGGAATCTAGAGTGTTCATCACAATATTTGTGATAATAAATGGAGGAAATGTTGAGTATAATAAGAGGTATGTTTTAGATGTTAGGAAAGCATGCTTTAAAAGTTAAAAATAAATAAGAAAAAGTGATTTAATGACTAGCGACCCTAACATGAAAGATGGCCCAAGAAGTCTGAGATTTGGGCAAAAGTCATAAACAATGCCAGTGGCCACACCCTGAGCTGATTTTCAGGTATTACTGCCCTTATGATTAAGGACATCCCTCTATTCAGCAAATAAATCAGTAGGCAGTTTATGTGAGAACTTAACTGCAATTTAGAATAATTTATGCAGTGTTGAACATAGGCTCAACATCAGAATAACCTGCATTAAGCAGAATTTCATTAATGTTCCCTGCTTCATGGAGGTGAAAACATCCGTCACATTTCATATCCTATTCTCCATCACAGAACTCAGTGATCCTGGCAGCCCTGGCAAACAAGTTTAGGATTTGAATAGAAGCAAACCCTAAAACATATTAATTGGATTGGAGAGAAATAAATGAGCACTCCTGTTACACATTGCCTGAGGTGCTAGACTTATCCAATCATAACTCTCAGACAAACACATGCTAATTATAAACATTATATATAATTATTTTAACAATTCCTTTATATTTAATAACAAAATGACTGCTCTTCTACAAAAAAAGTTTCTTTACTTACCCCATTTTCAGTGTGAGGTTAAATATGCTGTTGAAACTGTAATTTTAAATCTCTGAATTGTTTCTGACATTGGAATTGACTAGTTGACTATGGGAAAAAATAAGAAAGAAACTTCTACTATATCAGCATAACATGTCGAGGAACTGCAAGAGTGCTGTTAAGTTTACAGACATAAAGGCTATTTATTTTCTTGCCCCAATCCACATTAAAACCACATCAGCAGTTTTGGTCTGATGTCAGGATACTTGTACAGATAAGCCCCAATGTGGTCTTAATTATAGCAATGATATGACAATTTTGAAAGTGTGGTTTGAAGCAATCAGTCATTGCCGCATTGTCATGTTGTTTGGGGAATAATTTTATGGTAGAAAAATTGATACATAAAATATTGAATTTATCTATTATTTATGGAATGATGTAATTCCAGACCTCTGGGAATATTTCTACAGTCCTGGGGAAATTATAAAACGTGACCTATGACAAAATTAGTAATAGGTGTATTTTAAAAGTCCTCTTACGTATAAAAATATATGCTTTACACTAATTCCACTTTTAGATTTTGTATCATTTTATCAAAGGGAAGGACTATAAGACTTTAATGAAATTATGCTATACAAATAAACCTCTATACTCATATAAAAATACCAACTATTATGTGAAACTTCTCCCTTAGAAATGAAAAAGTGATTTTTTCTCCCCATATCAAGTTCATAAAAGCTTTGTTAGGATACATTTGAATAGAGCTATGGTGCTTCCGGTACTAGTATTCATGTCCTTACAATTTAGAGGATCATTTTTTTTTTTAAAAAGCCTTATTTAAAACAGAAATTGGATACATATATGGTGAGTGTAACATGTAATGTGCGACATTTACGTGGGATTCTCCAAGGGACACCTAGAGGTGTTAGAAGTAGTTCCTGTTACTCTCAAGGATCTTTAACGCAGTAGGGGGAATAAGGCAAGCATACGAATGAGTAAAATTCTAGACAGAACATAATTATGTTAAGAGAGGTATTTAGTATAACTGGAATTCAAAGGGGGTAAAACACCTTTAATTTGGGGGACTGAAAAATGCCTCAGGTAGAAAGCATTGAGATAAATTTCGTAGGAATAGGATTTGACAAGCAGAGGTCTGGGAAGGTAGAGAAGGAGGGGTGAACTTTATCTAAGTAGAAGAAAAAATAAGTAAACGCAAAGGCATGCAGCAAGGGATGACCTTGGGAATTAGCAATATTGATGCAGTTGGTTGGAGCATAGAAATCACATCAGAAAGTAACTGGCAACAAAGATATGGAAGTGGACTGGGCTCATGTTATGAAGAGGCTATTGGTGTGCTGTGTGTTACAGTTTTAAAGTGCTTCTAACTTTACCTGGTATTGCAGCCCACATCCCTTTGATAGCAAACCCCTGCGGGGTGAAAGGTCATTGGCAAGGATATGCTTTGGGGGAACTGAATTGGAAGAGCATTATCTACAGAATATCTCAGAAGGTTTTGCTGCAGCAAAGCCCTATCCCCTCTTTTTTCTTTGAAGAAAGTAGAAGACTTCCCACTGTGGAGCCTGCATAAATCCTGCGTGGTGGTCATGTACAAACAAATTGAAGCAGAATTCCCCTTTCAAGGTCAACAGTGGGAGGATGGAAAAGTGGTGGTATCCACTTAGAAACCAGAGTTCTGTGTGTGTACATATACATATAATGAATCCTGGGTTCTTCAAAGTCCTTGAGGAAATATACGTGCTCCCTGGCTCTAAGGATTTAAACCATTTAGCTGCAAAAACTCAACAAGTTAAAATACAAAGATTCCTCTTCTCAAGGTTTCACATTGCAAAATATGATTTTTGAAGACTACTAATTACTTGAGAAAAAATTGGCTTAATTCTATTTCAGTTTGCATCTGTTCTCTGCATGCATAAAGCAAGTGTAAAAGCACATTAATAATTGGCTGATGAAGTTATAATATCTGGTCACTTTGAACTTTGCAAAAATAAACATTCTCATTTTTTTGTTGTTCTGTAGGATAATTACATAATGGGAATTAACAGAAGTTGTTATTACACTCAGTGAAAAACATTTTGAAAATAATTTTTTCCTCTTTAAACAAAGTTTGTTGAGGATCTGCAACATGGGTTCAAAAAATTAAGAAAGCTAAAAATCTAAGAAAAATTTTAACTTTTTGTTCAAATTTAACATACTACTATTTATATTAAATATATACCAGACTTATTTCTTCCTTTTAGAACTTCCCAACATAACTTTAAAAGTAGTTTTTGGGATAAATACTACAGTTTACACTGTACAAGGAAGAGTCCTACCTTATCATTCAATGTTAAAAAGTGAATTTCCAGTTTTATTTAATCACAAGTCATGCCTTAGGAAGATACACACACACAGATTTTTTTTTTAAGTGAAGAGAATTACTTTTATTTTCTGCAGTATACTATCCCCAGTTGCTACCACTTGTGACTTGGTTTCCAAATAACAACATTTCGATAAGAAGAATTTTATGACAATTTTTTTGTGTTACTGATAATAGGTTATAAAATGTTACTCAGGATTGTGTGGAAAGCAATTATATACAAATTGTTTTTATTCTTTTTTTTTTTTTTTCCTTTTTGTCTTTTTTACTGACCGGTAACAGGATCACAACCCTCGGTGTTGCGCCCGGACCGCGCTCAGCCAGTGAGCGGGAACCGGTCTCCACATGGGATCCGAACCCTCGGCGGGAGCGCCACCGCGCTCCCAAGCGGCGCACTCTCCAGTGCGCCACCGGGCTGGCCCAAATTGTTTTTATTCTAATATTTTCTTTTTTGTTTTAATTTTGAATCAACCTCAAAGTTACAGTAAAATTAAAAGTACAGCATCAATAATTTTTTTTCCTTGGATGATTTTGAAAAAGTTGATGAAATAATGCCCATTATCCTAAATACTTTAGTGTGTATTTCCTGTAATCAAGAACATTCTCAAACACATAAGCACATTCAATACTCAAAATCAGGAAATCAAGATATAAACATTGATATATTATTACCATCTAATCCTCAGACCTTATTCAATTTTGCCAGCTGTCCCCAAATGTTCTTTACAGTAAATGGATTTAGTTCAGAATCAACTGTTGCATTCTGATGTATGTTTGTTATTCTCCTTCAATTTGGAATAGTTCTTTAGTCTTTCCTTAATTCTCATAACTTAGGCACTTCGAAAGATTAAAGGTTATTTTGCACAATGTCTTTCAGTTAGGGTATGACTGATGTTTCCCCATGATTAGAGTCTACATATGCATCTTTGAAAGAATTATCACAGAAGCGATATCATGTTCTCATTGTATCACATCAGGGACACAGATTTTAATTTGCTGTCTAACTTCTCCATTAGGGAAATACTTGAGACTATGTAAACATAATGCTTTTTATCAGATGTTCTACTTATTCATTTATTTATTTCTATCAAGTATGGATACACAGTTACCTCTCTATTTAATGGATTGTAATCTGCTAGTATCATTATTTTGACATCCCAATTATTTGCAAATGTGGTCAGTGGGAGACCCTCAGGCTGGCTTCTGTGGCTATTTGACATGCTCTCCTATTCTTTACCTTCTGGCACAACATCCTCCAGGTGTACTGGTACTTTTCCTATCCAGCCCTGGAAAGAGCCATTTCTCCAAGGAGACCTGGTTCCTTTCATTGGAGAATGGTATTAGAAACCAAGATCTGAATGCTGTTTGCATATACTACTATTGGAGTCTTGCCGCTCTCAGGTCTTTCCAGTGAATAGGGCATATATATAATGTGGCATATACATGGATTGATATGTACATAATATGTATATATCTATATACATATTTGCACTCATACTTATTTCTATACTTACCTTTACAAATTGAATACCATGAATTCACATTAATAACTTCTAATCCCAATACATTACAACAGGGTTTAATCCAGTTTTCCTTCTTAACGTATTTGTAACTTCCTTCTCCAGCAATAGAGACTCCTATTATTTTTAATACATGTACTTACTGGGTCACACCTTCCCCCCACCCTAACCCTCCCATATCCCACTGCCATCTCCATTGCTCCACCTACAGGATATCTTCATCACTCTGCCCATGCTCTGAAACCCCATTAGGGGTTAGGAGACCCCACAGTACAGAAACCCTCCTCAACCTTGCCTGGCTCTGACACCCACACTGGGCTGGCTACCTCAATGCTGGGATTCCCTCCTGACCCTGCTTGTACTGACATCCTATGCTGGGTCACTCTTCTACCCTCTCATGCAACCTATCTGACCCTGCCTTTCACCCTACTCAGTGACTCTGAAACTCCACACCAGGCCACCCCTCTTCCCACTTTGGATGCTCTTCTCACCCAGGCTGGGCTCTGGCGACCCACTCTAGACCACTGCAGACCCCCATCTGCTGGCACAGATGCCCAACTACTAGGCTCCACCTAATGGCTTATTGGATGAAATTGTTGAAGAGGGGGAAAAACAGACTAGAAAGAAAGAAAGGGAAGGAATGGGAAAGGAAGGGGAACAGAAGGATGTACAATATGAGGAAGAGGAAGTGCCATTCTATTATTCTATCATTCATTTAACAGAAACGAAAAACAACAAAAGTCATAATATCTTAGCAATGGTGTGATGGTTAATTTTAGGTGTCAACTTGACTAGATTAAGGGATATCTAGAAATCTAGTAAAGCATTACTTTTGGGTGTGCCTGTGAGGTGTTTCCAGAAGAGATTAACATGTGAGCCTGAGTAAACTAGGTGGGAAAGATCCGCCGTCAACGTGGGCAGGCATGATCCAATCTGCTGGGGTTCCAGAAAACAGAGGAAAAGGCAGATCTCTCTTTCTATCCAAGTAGCTTTTTCCTCTTGCATGGAGATTATGGAAACAGGTCTTCATATGATGGTGTAATGCTGGGACATTGCATAGAGGACAGACTTCCCTGGAGAGTTACCCTACATTATAGCTAAATTCTCACAGGGAAGAAATAAAGAAAACTTTGTTCTTTCAAACTCCTGAACTTGTGGCCTGTTTGTTACTGCAGCACAACCTAGTCTATCCTTATTAACTATAAGAGGCTACTTAATATTCAATATAATGTTTAATGCTGGTGTTCTGACCAAGATAAACAAAAGTATAGGTTGCAGCATTTATTTCATAAATCCAGACACACATTGCACATGGACTTGTCCTGTAATTTATTTCACCAGAAAAGCATGTAATTTCATGTCTCAACACTCCATATGCCATTTTCCTAATGTGTATTTTCCTTTAAAGTTATCACAGTAATTTTCTGATCCATAGGAAATTAAGAACATTTATGACACATACAAAGTACCAGTTCTTGAGAAATAATAGAAAGACGTATTTTTGTGTAGAATTATGAAAGGCTATCTAACTGACAGGGAAACATTTTAAAACTTGCTGCAGATATAGTTTTTAAATCATTTAATAAGTATATCTCAAAATTATGAAAGACTTATTTTCAATAAAAGAAAATGTATTTCAGTGTTCAGCAAATAATAGGTATTAAATAAATAGGTTTTGAAATTCTTTATTACATTTTTCATATAACTATACCAGTTTTTATAAATGTTATTAACAGAGAAAAATAGCTGCAGATTCCCCATTAAGAATTTCCTCTATGATTTCCACTTAAAATTATGTTTTGAATTTATGACCTTATAATTTACTATATAAACACCTATAATTTTCCAGTGCAAGTTGCTTATGATGCAGCTACTAGACTTAATTAAAAATTATCGAAGTTCCACCCTTTCAAATTAAGCGGATGATACATATCAAAGAACAATCATAAATTTCTGCCTTTAAAACATTTCATGACCTTTCGGTGTGATGCATCGTGTCTATAGAAATAATGATCTGGTGAGTTCTGCAACCATGGCAAAATCCATGCCATGTGACTCAGGGGGCAAAGAGTCACTCATTACTAGTCACGCAGCAAGTGTCTGCAGAGTATAATGGACTTACAGGAAGCAGGGTGACTACAGATCTAATTTTAATGAAGCCCTAGACATAATCTGAGCTGATAGGGTTTGAAGTCTGAATATAATCTACACAAGGTTAGAGTTATTACTTGACAACACAAGGAATATAGTTTTCTCTCTAAATAAATCTATGTTTCAATGCATACCTTTTATGGTAGCAAATAGTTAAGTTTACATGAAAATTATAGGAAAAAGTTTTTGAACACTATAAAGGAAATTCTAAATTTTTCCATAGATTGAATTTTTTAATATGTGAAATTTTTCACTCACGTAATACTCATGTGTTAAGGCTGAGGTAGTTGTCTGTTTGTATAGTTATTACATACACAGAAAGTTTGACTAAATGAAAATACTATCAGATTTCTATCACTAAAGTACTTCATAAATTGAAAAATAAAAAAGGTATAGAAAACACAAATATCCCCTCGAATTTATTATTTGGGAGGATACATAGAAATGCATGCTTATTACAAATAGAAATCATTATTTATCAGTGCTAAATGTGAACGAAGAATCATATAGTTTGATAATGTTTAAATAACATACATTTATATTCTTGAGAAAGAACATCCCTTAATGTGAAAGAACTTGATTTACTTCTATGCTTTCCTTACTTGTGTTATTTTCCAGAATGACAGGATTAAGTATGACATCATGCCACCCAGTTACACAGAGGCCAAATTAGCATTTGAATATCAGCTTGAGAGACAATTACCAGGAGCCTTGTATTTATTGGCAGTAAAGCTTGGAAGTGAGGTACGAATATGTGACAAACATGCTTTATTCATTCAATAGGGTGAAGTGATTTAGGAGCAACATATTTAAAAAAAACAAATACAATCTACTTATGAGACTTCTGGGTCTACTTATGAGACTTCTGGGTCTTAGAACCTATGTTCAGAGTCCTGAATGGTAGAAACCCTATGTAATTTTCAGTCAAGCAATAGCCATACTGGTGTTAATTTTAAATAAATTTTAATATCAGATATACATACCTAGAAAAAAGAAGATAGAAAGTGATTTCAAAGGGAAAAACCGACTACTGAAATAGACAAAAATGATAAAACATCTGGAATTTGGGAGCAATTTTTAGACCTCTTCACAGGTTTAATACTTTGGAATAGAGAGAACTTGAATTACTGGGGATAGGGGGAGAAAAAGCAAAATGAGCTCAGTTTCAAAAGTCTCTTTTTCTTTATTAAATATTCATTTTTAAGATTAATTTTGGAGAACAGACTCAAACTGCCCAATACATCAACAGATATTACATCTCCTTGAATTGCTGGATTTCTGGTAGTTGATTTTCATAGAATATCATCTGATACAGGCAACACAAAGAAATGCAGACCAACTTCCGAAAGGAACCTAAGTCCTTTCAGAAGCTGGTGACTTACCTTCTTCACCCGCATAGGCCAGAATGGACCGGGCTCGGATCTGTTTCCCTTCTGTGGTCTTCCCTGAGCAGGTGTGTGAGCAGGAGGACCATGTAGACCACATGCTGAGCACACAGTCTTTGGGGCATGGGGCATCACAGGCCACAGGGATGGGGAAGATGGCATCTCTGCACAGCTGTCTGTCAACTTCTTCTCCTGGGAAAGATATGATCACCAACAATCTATCATTGTTAAATCAACGTGAAATGAGCAATTGAGACCAGATGGGCACCCAGAAAAATTAGATTATTTTCTTTTTGTTCTTAGATAAAAACAAAGCCAAAAGAGGGATTGCCTATTATAGCCGGATATTAAAAGAATGCCAGGAACAAGTATATATACAATGCACACAGATGCACATGTGCACGCACACACACCCCTTTTATTATCAGAAGCACAGGTGTATAGATCAAACATATTGCTGAAAGTGCTTTTATGCTCTAGATACCTGCTCATTAGTGATTTTTAATACTTTTACTATCAACTGCAACAAGAATCATCAATGAGATATGTTCCTCTCTTTCTTTATTGGAGATGAGCCATGATTTGCTCATAAATAATGACTGTCTGTTGCATGTATTATATGTTTTCTCATGAAAACTCATAGGTATCTCTATTCACAAACTCTCTTGTATCTCCTACACAAGTTATTCTTGTACTATAGGCACTTTTTTTTTCATAAAAAAGTTAGTTGGAAATAGCCAGGAAATGTAAATGATAGGATAGCACTATAAAACCATGTTTAAGGTGGTCACATTGAGAGAGAGAGGGAAACAAGACAAGACAAACAAATGGCAGAAGTAAGACAGTGTCATCCCAGTGCTTAGTACCCTCTACTAACTTCCTATTGCTCTTAAGATAAAGACCAGAATTCTTAAAAGTTTACAAGAATGGGCCGGCCCGGTGGCGCACTGGATAGTGCGCCGCTTCGGAAGCGCGGCGGCGCTCCCGTAATAACTTCGTATAGCATACATTATACGAAGTTATCGGATTTTTTAAAGTGGGTGCTTTTGTATTGCTTTTGTGAAAAACTGGCAACATGTCTGGGTTGCATTATTCTCATCTATAACATAAGAAGGTAATACTAATCAATTGAATGGGATGCCTTCAGCTACAAGTTACAAAACTGACTAAAATTAGCCTAAACAGTAAGGAAATACCGTGCTGTAAAGTCAGGTACGGGGGCAACACTGAGGGTTGCGATCCGTTGCCGGACATGGAAAAAAGACAAAAGACAAAAAAAAAAAAACTTTACAAGACCTCAAATGGCCTGGCTCTTGCTTCCCTTCCCAGCCTCATCCCACTCCCCTCCCTCTCTTTGTCCTTGAAGCTCCCGAGATTGGCAAAAAATTGACACTCACTTAGTATTTGTTGAATGAGTGAAACGAGATATACAAAAGGCCAATGAGAAAGAAAATAATGTTGCTGTTAATAAACGTCAAAGATAAATTAAAAGAATTATAAGTAAATGACTGAAACAGAGCATAAGAAAAATCTGAACTCTGTGACTTAGTTGGTTAACATATGTTAAATTAAGTTTGTCCTAAAGCTTTCCTTAGACATAGTGAACTGTAACCTAATGTGATGTACAAACAGACTGTCACCTACTCTTGTAATAGGTAGCCAAGTCTCATCTAATTACAAGCAGCCAAGTGTTCAAACTGTGTTCAAATAAGGCAAAACCCTAGCTGTAACCAACCCAGCTGTTTCTGTACCACATTTTGTTTTCTGTCACTTTCTTTTTTCTGTCTGTAAGGCAGTCCCAGATTCACTCTGAACCTGTTCTGGTTCTGGAGACTGCCTGACTCAAGAATCATTCTTTGCTCAATTAAATTCTGTTGAATTTAATTTGTCTAAAGTTTTTCTTTGTAACATATAGGGCACTAATGAGGCCAATGGGACAGAATGAAATAATATAAAAACAAGTAGAAATTATTTCTATTTTGCCACACAATATAACCATAATTTTGTAATGAATATACCAAAACTGTGTGCCCTGCATTAGGTGTGCAGGTAAGAAAAGGTGACTAACTGTGCCATTTCTTATGCTGTTGGACAGAGAACTCCAAGCTGTTTCTCACTGCTAAAGGGTTAGGAGCATCATTTTCATGTGCTTTCCTTCATTCATATATTTGAAAAACAAGACAGAAAACCAGAAGTCAATTGAAAATGCTGTAACATGATAATAGCTACTAGTGTGCGAGTCCTTTAATCAGTAGAAAAAATCAAAGTCAATTGGGATGCACTTACATGTTAATAGCCACTCTTTCATTAGGACTTAAATCATTAGACCTCCTCACTAGTGAGTAGGGGAGGCTCATTAAAATTACAATTGAATCAACATTGTATCATTCATTGTTTGCTAGTTACTGTGATCTGTGGGATCTCTTTCAAATTCTGCTTTTATTGGCTTTATGGTTTGGCATATAGCCCAATAAAACAATATAATAGATAGATAGTAGATATATAGGTAGGTAGGTAGACCACAAAAATCTTCACAGTATAAAGCATTTAATAATTTACAATTTACATAATAATGATGACTTTTTTCTACTATGCTTTTTCTTAGTGCAAGGGTGGTTTGCATATATCTTATTTCCTTCACTGCAATCTTTTATTGTACCATCTCCTCACTCTCACTTTTGTTTCCAATACTCTGTGGAAAGCAAGGAAAGTTTGGGCTACAGCCTGTAGTAAACAAGAATTAAAATTTTATGTCTTCTATAATAGTTACCCAATCGTTCATTCTGCAGCAATTGAGAATTTGCTACTAGTGTGCTGTTAGAATAGCTTGCGTGGCATAAAGTGACATATTTCTGTTTGTTGTAGTGCACACCAAAGGGAGGTATAATTTTCACTTTATAAGTTACTCTTTAAAAGTTGAGTCACATACATTATTTTAGCTCTTTTTCACTCATCTTGTTCTGCTTAGCCAGGTATATTTTCCTGTAGGCACACTCCTTCCACACACATAGCATACCTTAATCCTCTGTGGAGCTGATCCAACTTCTAAGACTTCCCTGATGATTTTTGAGTGGTTTCTGCACTTCCACATTTTCCCAAGTGTGATCTTGTCCCTCTCTACCTCTCTGGCCCTTTGCCACCACTGTCTCACATTCACTTTGAAAACATTAGGTTCTAGCCACAATGGCATTTTCTCCTTTCCTCCTACGAACCAAGCTCCTCGTTGCTCCAGGGGTTTTGCACTTTTTTTCACTTTGAATGAAAATTTCAGGTCTTCATACAGCAGACTGTTTCTCAGCATTCAGGTTTCAGTTCAAATTTCTCTTTCCTAGGGAAGCCTTTATTGACCACGCACATTCTCATGGTAACTTTGGTTTATTTTCATTATAGTATTAATCACCACTAGAACCCACTTTATTTTTGTTCCATTTTATTACATTCACTTTTTCTTAATTGACACACACACATAATAATTGTTTATATTTAAGGAGTACATTGTGATATTTGGATATACGTGTTTAATGTGCAATGATCTTATCAGGGTAATTTGTGTTGGGGGCCTGAAGCTCCACACCCCTTCTTGTGAGACCGCTTCTCCTTGACAATCTGCTCAGATGGCCATGCGTAATAACTTCGTATAGCATACATTATACGAAGTTATACGAAAAACTGTGGACCACAGCTGGTAGTTTATGCTAACAAGGTGACTCCTACTGTCCCCTGGGGTCTCGTGCTATTAGTCCAACCTCTGGGAAGGAGGTTCTGGAGAGTGCCTTGAACCTTACGGACACTAAGTCAATTGATCATGCATATATAATAAGCCCTCAATAAACACTTTGGATACTGGTGAGCTTCTCAGATTGGAAATACTCTGTGTGTATTGTCTTAGTCTATGGAAGGAGGATAATGCATCTTGAGAATGAAGGAAACTTTGCTTTGAGCTTCCTCCCAGATTCTGCCCTTTGTGTTTCTTCCGTTGGCTGATGTTTAATGTATCCTTTCTCTGTAATAAGTATAACCATTCATATAATAAGCTTCAGTGAGTTCTGTGAGTCTTTCTAATTGTTGGGGGCCTGAAGCTCCACACCCCTTCTTGTGAGACCGCTTCTCCTTGACAATCTGCTCAGATGGCCGTGCTTTACATGATAACTGCCTCGAAATCTTTATGCCAGAAACTGATTGCTCCTGGCTATGCAAGTTAATTTGCAAGTGACCTTTTATCCTTCTCTAGAAACTGTTTAACCATAAACATTCTGGGTGGCAACCTTTACTTTGAATGTCCTGTCTTTGTCTCTCCTCAAGATATTATCATATCTTTACATTCCAGACCCTTTGCAGCATGCCTGCCTTCTCCTATATAAGATGTAACCTAAGAATCAATAAACGAGACTTGATCAGAATACTGTCTTGTCTCAATTTCTCGTGTCTCTTGTCCCATCCAATTCCCACTCCCCCCTCCAGGGTCTGCGTTGAATATCCCGCGGGTCGGGACAAATTTGCATATCCATCACCTCAACATTCATTTCTTTGTTTTGGAACATTAAAAATCCTCTCTATTAGCTATTTAAAACCGTATAATAAAGAACCTACTTTAATAAATTGTTTACATATTTATTTCCTGGCCTTACCACTAGACTAAATGAGGGTTAATGATCCTTACCAGTCTTTTTCTTATCTCTATATATGTACTTAGAATCTTGAACAGTGTCTAACGCATAGTAGGCACCAAATCATTTTTTGTTAAGTGAATCAATGAATAAGTTAATTTTAACCTGGTGTGCTAGGAAATGTTGGTGTAGATAATGTCTAGCTACAGTATTTCTTAAATGGGCATACATCCAAGCTTTCTAGGGCCTTGCTGAATTGTACTCAATACACAGGCAGCATATGCATCATCATCTGGAGTTTGCTAGAAATGCAGCCTCTCAAATCCCACATGGTGAAACGCAACTTGCATTTTAAAAAGATCCTCAGGTGATTTGTAGGCACATAAAATCTAAGAAATATTGCTCAAAGATTTTTTGTGTTTGCTGTCTTCTGGTTTGATTAGAACCAGTCTTCCTCTTGAAAGAAAACCTGTATAAGATGAATTCATCTGGGTTTCATACCTAGTATTATTACTTCTCTGTGGGACTTACCTTTACATTTCTCTTCATACATAGTATATGTGGCTGAAAACATTCATTCAATGA